TAGGATATCATGTTCAGATTAACATTATGTATTTCATATCAGTTGCAAAATTAAATTTTAAATGAGGATATAAAGTTTTGTGGAGTATATTTCACTATTTTTAAAACACAATAATTTGTGCACACTTACATGTAAAATTTCAAATGTGAATGCAAAAGACATGTTTAAATTTGTTTAAAAGACAGGCATTGCAGAGGGTTCCTGATCAAGTCTATGGGCCTACTGGGCCTTTGATCTTGGAGTGGATGATGACTTCCATAGCTCTACAATAGTGTCAGTAGGCCTACAACCCCGAAATCTCACCATCTTTGAAAAGCAGTTGGTAAGGAGCCAGTAGTCTTTCTGGTAAACAGAGTCCAAAAGATCCACCATATCAACAGTTTCTTTTGCCTAGAGGTGTTTCTCCCTTACCCTCTCCAATCACAGCTCCACCCCAATTCAACATTGTCTTCAAAGCCCAGTTTTAAAATCACCTAGGTAAAATGTTTCCTCCCAATGATGTTAAATAAATTTCTCCCACCCTCTGTTCCCCTAAATCTTTGTGTCTTCACTATGAGATTTATCATATTACTTCTATTACAGTACACTTTTTCAGTGAGTTAGCAGCACAACTCCCATGCAAATATAAAATGAAATTATGCCAAATATTTTATTCAACTCATTCCTTGATTAAGAAACCAGTAAGATGTTAAAGTAGTTCAAATAAGAATCCGACTTACAGAGATTTATATTTTCTACCTGACAGTTCATTTGCATTGCTTATGAAAATGAGTGAGTTATATTGCTATCAGTTTTCCAAAAATTTTGCTTTTATTCTCAGTGTTTTTAAATAGCCTAGTAAATAGCAAATCAATCAAATAACATCAAAGAATCCTTAAAATTATCCTAGGCAATGCCCAGCTCTTCACTGAAGGTATACTTGACAATTTATTCTGCCTATTTCCAAGTCTTGAATGATTTTTTTTTGGCAATTCATAGCTTAGACCTCTGTCTACAGAGTCTGTCTGCTAGAGTATGAGCTCAAAACTGTATCTTCAGATATTGGTTAAATTAAATACTGAGAGCGTCTTCATTTCAGGCAGAACAAATACTCTAGGGATACAAAAATGATGCAAAGGCAGAAAAACTTCCCCTGACTTCAGGGCCTTATTTAGTACATATTAAGCATAGAAACAAATAATTTATATACAATATGAAAGAGCTATACCTTAAGATAAATCTGTGGCATGTACAAAATGGAATCGTGAGACAGCACAATTACGATTATTTTCAGGAAATCAATACACATACTCCCAATGCAAAAACTCATTCATGACTTCCCTACTGAAAATTCAGTTCAACCACACACAAAAATGTTGGCATGTGAGGAAAGAGGCTATAAAGAAAAAAAGATAATATGATAGGTGATATTTATGGAGCACATTATCTTTAATGCTTATGATTACCTAATAACATAGGCACTTTTATGAACCCCTTTTTATAGATGAGGAAACAGAAGCACACTAAGGTCATACAATGCAAGACTCTGTAGATAGAAATATAAGCTATGAATTGTCAAGAAATTCATGGGAATAGGCAAAATAAATTGTCAGATGTACCTTCAGTGAAGAGCTTGCCCTCTAAGAACTGGAAGTCTAATGAAGTAGGAGAAATACAAAAATAATATAATCCCATACAATGTAACAATGGTATTAAGGAGTACAGTGTAATAATTATGCCAAATATAGTGGACATGTTTTGAGATGCCAATCCAAATCGTGCCCCCTTTGAAATTTCCTCCATCTATCATCTCTGCAAAAAGGGGGAACCTAACTGACCATGTTTGTCCCATCTGATCTCCACAAAGTCCTAGATCAGCTGATTGAGTTGGGGTTCTACATCTATTCAAGTGAAAACTAACTTACAGGCTGGGCTGAACCAACCAGATTTTCTGAGCTGGGAATGTGAAATTGGGACACAGAGATCCTCACTTGAACAATAGTGGATGTAGGACTTAAAAGAACTTGCAAAGTTGGGATTGAAGGGAGCACAAGGACAGGCCAAAGTGTGAAGCCGAGGAACCCTAAATGAGCAGAAAAGGCTGCGCTGCAGAGAGAAGCAGGACACAAGGTAGAGCACAGCAAGAAGTGGAGATCACAGGGCGCAGCAATGGAATTATAGACTCTGACCCTGTCTTTCCAAGTGCACATCCTCTGCGGCCCGATTGCCTTTTCTTTTCTGAAGTCCATGAAATGCCTGCTGCATCCTTTTTATTAAACTTTTTTGTTGCCCTTCCTTTTACTTGATCAGTCCTAACTCTCCCAGGTCCTGAAGCATTCATTAGGGAAAGAGGTATAAAAAGCATATGCAAAAATAGAGGCAACAAGTTACACAGTATGCTCAGAGAAAGCTAATCACCTTATAGTGACTGAACAGCACGTTACGTTGTGATTTCTGTAGGCATCCAGACTGATGCTCTGATCAATTAGTATTCATTTACCTGAATTGGCTCCTTCCTCCCAAGCCTGCTCCCTGTACTACTTCTCACATAGTGGCTTTTCTTCCTATCTCTCCATCTATGGCAGTAGGAGTGTGCCTCTGCACCCCTATATTCCTTTATGTCAAGTTGGATGAGTGACTTTCTTATTTATTTGAGTTGGAGTCATGATGAGTACCAAGTCCAAAGCTAGCAGACCACACTTAATTTTTGTTTAGACTTCTTATGAATTATAATTTTTCTAATCATTTTTTCTAACAAAAGTTGGATAGTTTTTTGTTTGTTTGTTTTTGAGACAAGGTCTTGCTCTGTCACCCAGACTGTAATATAGTGGCTCCATCACAGCTTACTGCAACCTCAACCTCCAGGACTTGAGTGATCCTCTCACCTTAGTGTCTGAGTAGCTGGGACTACAGACACCTGCCGTTACACCTGGATAATTTTTATTTTATTTTATTTATTTTATTTTATTTTATTGAGATGGAGTCTCACCCTTGTTGCCCAGGCTGTAGTGCAATGGTGTGATCGATCTCGGCTCACCGCAACCTCCACCTCCCAGGTTCAAGCAATTCTCCTGTCTCAGCCTCCCGAATAGCCGGGATTAGAGGCATGTGCCACCACGCCCAGCTAATTTTATATTGTTAGTAGAGATGGGGTTTCTCCATGTTAATCAGGCTGGTCTCGAACACCCGACCTCAGGTGCTCCACCCACCTCGGCCTCCCAAAGTGCTGGGATTACAGGTGTGAGCCACCACGTCCGGCCTACACGTGGATAATTTTTAAATGTTTTGTAGAGATAGGGTCTCCCTATGTTGTTGTTCTCAAACTCCTGGGCTCAAGCGATCCTCCCACCTCAGCCACCCAAAATGCTAAGACTACAAGTGTGAGCCACCGCGCCTGGTCAAAAGTTGGGAAAAAAAAAAACACTGGCTACTTGCAGAAAGAAGTCTAACTTAAGGAAACCATAATTCCCTACAACTCTTTCAGAGTTAAAGAAAAAAAAAAGCCATATTTGCTTTTATGGAACTAAAATAATTATTAGAGTTTTGCCTATTGATCTGTAACCAATGATTCCTGTAGGACGCTTTCTACCTATTCTAAGGTTACAAAATCAAGCCGGGTTTCCGATTCTCTTCAGTTAACACCCCCAATAAGATGCTTTTTCTGCCTTATCAGCCTCTAATAATTTTTTTAAAGTCAAAGCAAGTTTATTAAGAAACTAAGGGAATAGAGAATGGCTATTCCATAGGCAGAACAGTGGCATGGGTTTCTCAGCTGCTTATACTTGTTGTTACTTCTTGATTATATGCTAAACAAGGGGTGAATTATTCATGAGTTTTCCAGGAAAGGAGTGGGCGATTCCCAGAACTGAGGATTCTTCCCCTTTTTAGACCATGTGACATAACTTCCTAATGTTGCCATGGCATTTGTAAACCGTCATGGCACTGGTAGGGGTGTCTTTTAGCATGTTAACGCATTATAATTAGCATATAATGAGCAGTAAGGACGACCAGAGGTCACTGTCATCACCATATTGGTTTTGGTGTGTTTTGGCTGGCTTCTTAACCACACCCTGTTTTATCAGCAAGGTCTTTATGACCTGCATCTTGTGCTGACCTCCTATCTCATCCTGCAACTCAGAATCCCTAATCTCCTATGAATGCAGCCCAGTAGGTCTCAGCCAATTTACCCAACCCCTGTTCAAGATGGAGTTGCTCTGGATCAAACACCTCTACATATTTCCCCCCTTTCTTTTACAAGGGAACCCTTAATTCTAAGGGTTATAGAGGGGTAAAGATCCATCTTCTGTAACAGATGGATCAGGCTGAATAGGGGCAATGATATTCCTGCCTAACTATTAGGGTATTTTGCATCCAGGGCAAAGAGGAGCTCAGTCAGAAAGTGTTGGTATGGCAAGGGCCATTCATAAATCTTGAGTTTCTGGAAGATTAATAAGTGTTCAATTTAAGAAAACATTCAGTAAGCTTATCCTGCATTCCTATATGAAGAGTACAACAGCAATATATTCCACAACAGTAAAGCAAAATAAATAAAATTATCCCAAGTAAACTAAATTAGAAGGCTTTCCATGAACCGTGCAACATTGGAACCAAGCTGATATGGGGTTGCTAGCTGATTCCAATAAGTGTCCAGAATTAGAATACTGAACCAGATTTTTATACTACCCATCCCTCTTTTTTCTTCTGAACTGCAGTCAGAGATCACTGATTGGTTCATAGGAATAAGCAGGGTTAGTCTAAATTGCAACTAAGCTTCAGCACCGGGCAGTTTCCATTGCCCTTCCCAGAAGGAGCCGAAAGCAGTCCATTTTGAGGTCGCAAAGGCTTTTAACTGCTCAAGATAATTTTTAGTGCTAAGTATAACATGAACCCCAAAATTCCTGTTCCCTGGATGGTGGAGACCAAGAGAAAGTACTGCCACATAGTTACAAGGTCAAGCTCCCAAGGACATAAAACACAGCGAGAGGGAAACTTCATCTAATTTTTTTGTTTGTTTGTTTCAGAGACCTGCAGCAAAGTTTGTAACTGACCAGTTTCCTGGAGCGTCTTGAGTGGCAGGTTTACAGGGGTCCTAAGCCGATGTTCTATCCTAAGGTACTCCTCTTTTTGACAGAACAATGCAGAAAGACAAATTTATAGCACAAAGTACACCAAATTCACTATATGTTAAGATTGGCCTCACACATCCTTTTTTCCATTAATCAAAACTTTGCAGAGAAGATAAACAGTGATTTTTACCATTCACTCAACCAGTTTGCACAGGGAGAGAGACAAGAAGTCTGATCAGTAAGAATCCTTACCCTTTTGCAGGCATGCCAGGTTTCTGGGTTTTCTTTCCCTGAGCAGCCCTAACAACCTTGCTCACTGCATGAAAGCCCTGGGGGCCAAGCTGCAACTCAAAGGAAAATCAGCTTTTTTTGCTTCATGGAATCATAGGCAAAACCCTCTCAATATTGTAGGATGCCACCCAACTAGCTGCATGGGGAACCTGAATTAATATTTTCTATTCCCTTTTGCTCCAGCCAGGGTAAAATAAGTGTGACCAAACAGACATTAGCCACTGTCCCTAGCATCCAATATTGAACTGACAAGGGTCAAGCTTGCCCCCGGATGAACCCTGTCATCTTTAATCCAACCTCCGACCAGGACTTTCAATATGTGGTCTCTGGGCAAGATGGTCGCCCTGAGTAACAGGAAAGATAGGAAGGGGAAAGGAGAGAAAAGGAGAAAACCATTGTCTGTGGCAGTGTAGGAAAGTCGAGGAGCTCAGAGAGGCCAGAGAGAGATCCGCCCATTGCAGCAACACTGAATCAAAAGCTCAGGCAGCTGCTTGTTGGTAGTGAAAGGATGTTTTTCCAGCAGTCCCATCAGCTCTCTAGTTTCCCCTTTTGGGGAGAAAAAATAGCTCCCTATGTCCCATGATCCTGTACCTACCTAATCCTGTCACCCACAGCCTTCAGCAAAGAGTGCAAGGCAGATTAATTCAAAGAGAATAGCAGTTAACATCCTATAGTGCCAAATGCATTTTTAACCAAGAGGGACTTTACTGAGAGGGGCCTCTAACCCCATAAATCTTAGGAAGGACTCCAACATTCCTCAGTTGGGCTTCCGATCCAAGTTTGGTGAAGCATTCTTGCCTTTTATTAAGAGGGGCCTTTAACCCTCTCTGTCTTAGGAGGGACTCTAACTCCCCTAAGTTGGGCCTCTAACCCAGTCCTATCCTTTACCTGGGTACTCCACCACTTACCCAAAGTCAGCCAATTGGTGCTGCAGTCTATTTCCTTTGGGTCGTGGCCTCCTTAGTATCATCCCTTCATGGTTCACAGGAAGATGTTACCAGAAGGGGATCTGGATCCATATCCAAAGAGAGGGTTCTTGGTTCTCACACAAGAAAGAATTTGTGGTGAATCTATAAAGTAAAGTGAAAGCAAGTTTACTTAAAAAGTAAAGGAATAAAGAATGGCTACTCCGTAGGCAGAGCAGTCATAATTTTTTACTTTTTAAAAAATATTTTGAATCACCCTGTGTAATAATTGATTATGGGCTAGCTTTAGAATCCTTGCTTTTGTTTTGTCTTCTTTTTTAATAGCTTTCTCTTAGAGTTTGGTTAATAAATCGGCAGTGGCTTACAAATTAATTGTACATATAGAAGTAAAGTCATGTTATTTTGAGATTATCTCATTATACGATAATAATATAATAGGCTCCCGCTTGAACCCTAAGAGGAGCCAGCATGACAAGCTAAACACTCTGGGACAATTATGCCATCCTTTTAATAAATTATTTACACCTCTAGCGCAAAACCTTCCAGCTCAACCAGTTATTACTTCTGTCCTTGACTTCCCCCACCACACCCTACCTCAAACATCTCTACCAGGTTGAAATTATGTGAAAGAAAGGTGTGGAGATGGGGGAGCATTCTTTTTTCTTTTTTCTTTGTATTTGAGACAGGTTCTTAACCAAGTTGGAGTGCAGTGGTGTGATCACAGCTCACTGTAGCCTCACGTCCCAGGCTCAAGTGATCCTCCAACCTCAGCCTCTTGAGTGGCTGAAACTACAAGTGCAAACCACCACGACCAGCTAATTTTTTTTTTTTTTTGTAGAGATAGGGTTTCACTTTGTTGCCCAGGTTAGAAGGAACATTCTAGACTCTACCATCTAGTCTTTTGGGTTCACAAGATTTTTTTTCACCTTTTAATTCACTGTTCTGCTTTCTTTCTAAATGAGAATCCAGGTTTACTGAGAAGGAATTTTGATATCACATTCATTTATCAGGAACCAAAGGGTACTTTTTTCTTTTTTAAGAGACGGAGTCTCACTATGTTTACCAGGTTGGTCTTGAACTCTTGGCTTCAAGCAATCCTCCCACTTTGGCCTCCCAAAGTGCTAGGATTACAGATATGAACCACCACAACCAGCCCCAAAGGGTAATTCTTAAAGACTAAGATAACCTCTCTTTTGTTTTCTTTTTTCTTTTTCTTTTTTTTTTTTTTTCCTGAGATGGTGTCTTGCTCTGTTGCCCATGCTGGAATGCAGTGGCGTGATCTGGGCTCACTGCAACCTCCGTCTCCCAGCTTCAAGTGATGCTCCTGCCTCAGCCTCCCGAGTAGCTGGCATTACAAGCACCCACCACCATGCCCGGCTAATTTTTTGTATCTTTAGTAGAGCTAGGGTTTCACCATGTTGGCCAGGCTGGTCTCAAACCCTGACCTCAGGTGATCCACCCACCTCGACCTCCCAAAGTGCTGGGATTACAGACGTGAGCTACTGCACCCACCCTCATCTCTTGTATTTCATCTAATCTAAGATGTCACTGATTCTAAGACACACCATTATTTTATATACCACAAAACAAAAAAAGAACAAAACCAGCCAATTAAACTGTGACACATTGCTTTCTTATTACTTGGGATATTTATTTCAAACTTATCAAAAGATCTCTTGATTTTTTATTATATTTAACTCTCTTGAGCCTATGCCAAAAAATATATCTATATATCTATATATATATGCAAAATAAATTGGTCAAAACTTCCCAAAACTCTCTCTCATTCAGACTTCAACCCTACCGAGTTACTTTTCAACTAGAATTGTGTCAGGTTTTTTCACACATCATTCTCTGTGCCATCAAAAGCATTAGTGTTGCAGAATTTCTGTGAGTGTTTCAGTATTATTTCGAGATTTTCAATAAGCTGTTGACACCTGTTCTAAAGAGTTGATGCAGATGCACAAGCAACAACCACTATGTCATGGTGATTGCTTGACTAACAGTGGCAAGACAAAGGAAGAGGAACCTAGGGTTCTGGTTCCCAAATACCACCTGGAAAGCCTGTTAATATTCAAGATGGTGGGCCAGGCATGGTGGCTCATGCCTGTAATCCCAGCATTTTGGGAGGCTGAGGTGGGCAGATCAGGAGGTCAAGAGATCGAGACCATCCTGGCCAACATGGTGAAACCCCCATCTCTACTAAAAATACAAAAATTATCTGGTCGTGGTGGTGAGCACCTGTAGTCCCAGCTACTCAGGAGGCTGAGGCAGGAGAATTGCTTGAACCCAGGAGGCGGAGGTTGCAGTGAGCCAAGACCGCGCCACTGCACTCCAGCCTGGCTACAGATCGAGACTCCATCTCAAAAAAAAAATTACTTAATTAAAAAAAATTCAAGATGGTGGACTCCTACTCCCAGAGATTCTGATTTTGTAGGCTGGTTTAGGATTTCTTTGGTATTTCAAATGAACAAAATCCTAAGTGGGAGGCAATCTAGCACTAAGACTAGAAAAACATGCTAAGTTCAAATCCTAGATCTACCACTTGCTAATTATGTGATTTTGGGCTAATTAACAATGCCATACTCTAGCTTTCTAATCTGTAAAATGGGAGTGATAATAGCACTTGCCTCATTGACTGTTATAAGAATTAAATAAATTAACACCTATAAAGCAGTTAGGACACTGCCTGGCACAGAATAAATGCTATACAAGTGTTTCAGGTCAAATTTAATAATAGAAGTTATTATTATTATTAAATTTCACCTAGCAAACAAATCTGTATCACTATGGAGACACTATGAAAGCCTAGGGAGAGTGCTGGTGGAAATAATCAAAAGACAAATTATTTAATATCTACTGTGAACCAACTGCTCAAAAAAATAGCACCTTTCTTTTGCCTTATATATTTGCAGAATTCAATAAAAGTTTATAATAAAGCTATAGTCCAGCCAGGTGCAGTGGCTCATGCCTGTAATTCCAACAGTTTGGGAGGCCAAGGTGGATGATCACTTGAGGCAGGCAGTTCAAGACCAGCCTAGCCAACATGGTGAAACCCAATCTCTACTAAAAATACAAAAATTAGCTGGGTGTGGTGACGCCAGCCTGTAATCCCAGCTACTGGGGAGGCTGAGGCATGACAGAATCACTTGAACCCGGGAGGCAGAGGTTGCAGTGAGCCAAGGTGGTGCCAGTGCACTCCAGCCTAGGCAACAGAGCGAGACCCTGTCTTCAGAAGAAAAAAAAAAAAAAATGGATATAAGTAAAAAAAAATATATGTATACGAAATATATTATATATAATCGGTCCTCTTTTCTAGTTAATCAGTAGAAGTAGAGAATGTACCCCTCTCACTGAGCCCTCTCTGGCAAAACACTAAATATCTTTTTTTTAAATGACAAAATTTCACTGAATATATTTTATGATCAGAATGCCTAATTCCAGTTTTCTTAAATAAGGGTCCATCTCCAATATTGGGTCCAGAGCTTTCTGGGAGGCAAATACTTTGTTTATGCTTTGGTTTAGGATTATTTTGGTTTTGCGCCACTTTCAACTTTATTTTTACTTCATCCTGTGTTTCTTTATTTTCTCCTAAATTTACTCATATAATGTCAAGGCATATCCCTTGATTCTAGTTAGTCGTGTGTCTAGTAAAACAGACTCCCTTTCATCCTGTCTTTGTTGTGATTTTTAGAAGTGCTTGTCATTTATTCTCCCATTCATTCAACAAACTTTATTTTGTGCTCCTCACTTTGTTTGTGACCTCTGTTAGCAGCTGGTACTACAAAGAGTGTCTGCTCTTGAAGAGCTCAGGGTCTAGTGGCTCCGTAAACTATATTATAAGTGCCTATGCCCAAAACTATAAATAAGCACTTAGTAAACATTTCTGGTTGAGCAATGCGAAACTTCCTTGTTTTTTCTCTTAGGATTTGTAAATTGAGAAGTTCGCTGGCTAGTTCTTGACTTCCACTGCCAGGCTTAATGTCGAATACAAATACACTGGGACTCAAGATCTCAAAGATCAGTTACCACACTTAAACAAAATGATTAACAGATTAAAACTTTATGCTTTACCCTGCAAATATATTAATAAATGTGAAATTAATGTCACTCAATACTTTTAAAAATTAAACTGAGGCCTATACGCAAAGCAAGATCAAATTAGCTTTCTTATTATCTTTATCTTATTCCATTTCTTGAGTGTTTATATTTTACAGAAAGATTATTTGTGGAACTAGGAATAAGTTCAGCCATTTATCCGGATACCAGAATCACTAAAAGACAGAGTTCTCCCCTTTACTGCAAATATGACAAAAATATGACAATGGGTAATATGTATGGAGACTAAGGTTATGAGCTTATTATTTCTTGGAGGAAACAATCCTTTGTTTTCAAATAATTATATTTTTCCGAGTTTGGGAGGAGAGGAGTGCTAAAATGTTTAATCTTTATGGAAACAAAAGGTCATAGTCGGAGTAGTGTGACTTTTTAAAACGGCATCCTTACTGGGCAAAAAAAAAAGTTTGCAAGATTGTTTTTATTCCTTTTCCTACTTGTGTATTTATTTATATCTCTGAAATCCGAACAGTCTGGAAACTATTACAGCGAGTGAGATCCATAGGCATTGGGACATCAAAGACATTGATACTCACTTATTTAAGACATCTCTGGGCTTGAACCCAGCCATAAGTAGTGTAATGACTGTTCTCAAAGTTACCAAAGCAAGATCAGATTCTATATCCTGTACTATGATTCCAATAATTTGTTTCTCTTATTAAATTGTTTTTCTTATTAAATCCTGACTACCTAATGCTCTACTTTTCTGTGATTCAAAATTAAGATGTTGAAGAACCAATGATCTTCAAAACAGGACAAGACTTGTTTCCTGGAATGTAATGTGGAGGAAAGAGCACAGGCTGCAGAATCAGAAGGCTGTTCAGACGATGCTTCTGCCAGTTACTCACTATGTAACCTTAGCAGTTTATTTCTCTGATCTTCAGTGTTTTCATCTGGATAATGAGAATAAAACTACATTTCTGAGTGTAAGGACTAAATTGTAGTAATATATGACTCTTCTTAAGATCTGGCACACAATGGTTGCTCAATAAGATAGCCATTATAGCCGGGCGCGGTGGCTAACACCAGTAATCTCAGTTTTGGGAGACCGAGGCAGGTGGATCACCTGAGGTCAGGAGTTCAAGACCAGCCCTGACCAACATGGTGAAAACCCTGTCTCTACTAAAAGTACAAAAATTAGCTGGGCGTGTTGGCGGGCACCTGTAGTCCCAGCTACTCAGGAGGCTGAGGCAGGAGAAATGGCATGAACCTGGGAGGCGGAGCTTGCAGTGAGCCAACATCGCACCACTGCCACTCCAGCCTGGGCAACAGAGCGCGAGACTCCATGTCAAAAAGAAAAAAAAAAAAAGTAGCATTATTACCTATTTACTTTTTTTTTTTTTTTTGAGACAGAGTCTTGCTCTTGTTGCCCCACCTTCTGGCTGGAGGTTCTAATGCTGTACGTAATCTGGCTCTACTGCAACCTCTGCCTCCTGGGCTTAAGCGATTCTCCTACCTCAGGCTCCCCCAGTAGCTGGGATTACAGGTGCATTCCACCATGCCCAGCTAATTTTTGTATTTTTAGTAGAGACGGGGTTTCACCATGTTGGTCAGGATGGTCTCAAACTCCTGACCTCGTGATCCACCTGCCTCCGTCTCCCAAAGTGCTGGGATTACTGGCGTGAACCACTGCGCCCAGCTATTACCTATTTACTAACATTAGCTCTATAAAGTAGTTGGAACATTTTTTATGACTTTTTAAATAATATAAGTACACAAAGACATTTTGGGCTTTTTCGTTTTTGTTTTATGGTTTTTTTTTTTTTTTTTAGATGGAGTCTTGCTCTGTTACCATGCAGTGGCATGATCTCGGCTCACTGCAACCTCAGCCTCCTGGGTTCAAGTGATCCTCCTGCCTCAGCCTCCTGAGTAGCTGTCATTACAGGTATGCACCACCAAGCCCAGCTAATTTTTGTATTTTTAGTAGAGAGGGGGTTTCGCCACGCTGGCCAGGCTGGTCTCAACTTCCTTACGTCAGGTGATCCACCTGCCTTGGCCTCCCAAAGTGCTGGGATCATAGGCGTGAGCCACTGTGCCCAGCCACACAAAGATATTTTGAACAGAAAGACAGTACAGTTATATCCTACGACCCCCCCACTTCTCACCCTTCACTACCTTCTTATCCAAGTATAAAGCCTCGTATTTCAGAGCTAGTCTTTAAGGAAGAAATTGTTGAAGTTAGTCAAAGATGAAGTACGAACAATTAAAGTAGTGATGTACCCCCCGAAAGCCCACAAGATGAAGATTCCAAAAATGAAATTATAAAAATGAACATGTAATGGGTAAGATCAATTATCTACCCACTAAGATCATTTACTCTCAGCAGTAAGGTCTAAATGGGTGCCTGTGTGTCATCTCCAGTGAGTGCAATTCTACTGGCATGTCTATAGCTATAACCTAGTTTGGTGCCTAAGAGGAAAGGGGTGTTTCCAGTGCAAGGAACAATGAGCCTGTGCTAATCAAACCACCTTCATAGATAATTTGGCTTTCCTATTATATGTGTAAGGAAAGAATATATTGATGCAGCTATCTTTTGTCATTATAAATGAATAAATAAGCAGTTTCTTGTGTATTTAATGTGTGAATGGATCCTTCTGAACTCAGTCAGTCAGTTGGCAGAAAGAAATCAAGATTTTGGCCCATAGAGCACTCTACTGAGGTTCACAAAATACTGCCCTGGAAGATCAATCCAAGAGGGACTGGCTCCTGTTAATGAAGATGATGAGGATGAGGCTACTGATAATGTTGATGATGATAGCTACTATGTGTCAGGTGCTGTGTTAAGTGCTTTACAAAAATTTCCCTGTGTAATTGCCATAGCAATCCCTTTTACAGATTAGAAAAAATGGGGGTTAGAAAGGTTAAGTAACTTGCCTAAGGTGACATATCTGTGAGCTAAGATTCAAACCAGGTCTAATTTGGAAGCAAAACTACTTGATCACTGTTTTGATTGCTTACCTCAAAAGAAGAGATCGTCTCTGGATTCTTAATGAACTTCCCTAGGACATTGCCTTCCAATTCCATGAAAAAGTAAATACATTTTATGACTCCAACTTGCCTCTTAATGAGAAATGCCACGAAGTTTAATTCAGGCAAATATTGTATTAATTTTCTAAAGAGAATGTTGTGGGTACCAAAAACTACAAACTAGTAAACCCGGAAAAATCTTTAATAGAGAATGAAACACAATTTGTGGCAATTTTAAAAAGGAATATATTTATCAAGGATATATTTAACAAGGATTCACCAAGAGCAAGTCATGTCAAATTTATTTAAAGTCTAGTTTTCAATAGCAAAACTAATGCCATAGACATCTTTTATTTTCTTTCCGTGAGAAATTTAATAAAATCCCTACTGATTATCACACCAAAATATTATGTTGACCAAGGTCCCCAAAGGCCTTTATAAAATGGCAGATCCCTTGGTAAATTTACCATTGATGAGGTTCTGACTTCAGCCTAACCAACTCAGAAATTTAATTTCCTCATGCTTACAAAACCCACAAGAAACTAATGATTAAAACCAGCCACTTTTTATTGAAAAGTAATACTATTGAAAAGTAATACTAATATATATACGTATATATACATATATATATATATGCTGGTATGACCACCAATCTAATTAAGATGTAGATTATTTCCATCATTCCAGAAAAGTTCCTCCTCCCCCTTTCCGGCCAATGCCTCCACCTCAATAGCTTTCTCGTTTCTACCATCAGGGATTAGTTTTACCTGATCTTGAGTTTTACATACAGGGAATTTTACACTATGCATTCTTTTGTGTCTAGCTTCTTATACTCTACACTATATTTTTGAAATCATTTACATTGTTACATGTATCAGCAGTTTTTGTTTCTTTTTTTTTTTTTTACTGCTAAGCAGTACTCCATTGTATGAATATAGTTTATAAATTTGGTTGATAGACATTGGAACAAAGCACCATTTTATTTATTTTCAATGAGAAATGTAATAGGTTGGTGGCCCAAACAATGGTCCCTGTTGGTTCATTATATGGGAAACTGAATCTTCAGAAAGTGTCTGTATAAGTATAGAATCAGACAGAACAATAGGAGTTTGCTAGATAATTCAACTATTCAACTCTCAACAGAGTCCATCAAGGGGCTTGACATAAGGTTGGATGAATAAGGCTAACATTTGCCTCAGGGATTCTCTCTTAACTTTGTTTCTCCACAGCTGATCCCACACACTTGTGATCAACACATCCTCCATTTAGACATGATAATATTAATCTTAGGCATTTCCCTTTCCAAGGATATGCTTTGCATATCACAGCTTTTGATTTTTAGTTGAATTATCTGAAATCCCCCTGTGCCTCCATTTCCAGTTCTTGCATGAACGACTTCGATGTTACCCTGGCCTAATGGGTCACCTACAGGATTTATCCCATGCATCTGGATTAATGGTGCTCTGGCCACCTGGAGGAGTCACAAGAGTCAGTCCTCCTCTCTGCCTTAGTCTGAAAGGTGTGGTTGAAGACACTAACAGTATAATCATCAGATCTATAGATGGCTAGAATTGCTGATGTGAAAGCTAACAGAATCAAACTTTATAAGAATTTAAAGCAGACTGAAGCACAAAATCAAACCAACAATACAGATATTGAGAATTAGATATAGGTTCAGAAAACATCACTCACAAGTACAGTTTTGGAGTAACCTGGTTTGCCAAAATTTCAATTTGAATACACAGGTTTATAAAAATGACTGCATTAAAAGAAGCATTTTTTTTAAAAAATCCTACTCTGCATTGATTGAGACTGTAACTGGGAAATAATTTTCAATTCTGGCCACCACAATTTAAGAAAAATTATAATTCTGGCAAGTATATTCATAGAGAGATGACCAGTACTAAATCATTCGTTCAACATGTATTTGAGCATTTACTTTGCGCTGGGCACCGTCATGCTGATGGGGGTACAGCAGCAAGGAAAATGACTAAGGCCCTGCCTCATGGTACTTATCTTCTAGAAAGAATACAGAAAATGAACAAATAAAAATATAATATGTTAGGGCCCAAGAAGTTCAGTGAGGAAAAATAAAGCCAGGTAAAGTAATAGAAGAGAAGGGAATGGCTTTTGGGAGGAAGTGGCCAAAGCAGACCTTTCCAAACAGATGACATTTGAACAAAGACCTGAACGATGTAAGGCAGGGTTCAGCAAACTCTGAACAGTGGCCAAATTTGACTGCACACCTGTTTTTGTACGGCTTGAGAGCTACGAATAGTTTGTATATTTTAAAAATAGTTAACAAAAAAATTTTTTAGAGAATAATACTTTTTGACATGTGAAAATTATGTGCAATTCAAATTTCAGCATCCAAAAATAAAGTTTTATTGGGACACATCCGCACTTACTTATTTATTCTCCATGGCTGCTCTTGCATTATCACAGTAGATTTGAGACCATATGGCCCACAAAGCCTAAAATATTTACCATCTGGCTCTTTATGCAAAATGATTATTGACCCCTGATATAAGAGAGCAAGCCCTACCAATATCTAAGGGGAAAATGTCCTGGCATAGATAATGGCAAGAGTAAAGGCCCTGAGTCAGGCCTGTGGTTGGCTTGTGTTCAAGCTGGAACACTGGAAGGAAGCCAGTGTGACTGGATGGCAGGGAGAGAGGGCGAGACTAGTGGGAAATGGCAGGAAGTGAAATCAGAAAGGGAACTTCAGACCAAATCTGCTTGGGGTAAGGATTTTGACTTAAGTGACACAGAAAGCCATTTAAGGGGTTTGAAAAAGGAATGACATAACGTGACAGATGGCTGGAGCACGCTCT